CGGTCTCTGCATCTCCAAAACTCAGGATCGGGCCTTAGGCGGTCTCCCACATCCCACAACCCCAACCATCATTGGATCCCCCTCAATCCAACCCTACCTCAACAAAAAGGGCTAAGATTAAATGCGAAAACGGCACACACAATCCTGCCGCCGCACATTCTGAGGAAAATTGCCACTCCCTGCATCCCGAAAAAGCTGTGGCTTTCTTCCAAGCTGCTATGGACCGAGCCAACGCCAGGATTGCTAGAAAAGCAATGCTTAGTGTCAACTCGGGTGTTGCCGACTCCATCATCCTGGACAGCGGAGCCACCGGTCACTACCTCAAGTTCCGATCCTACTTCACCTCCTTCCAGCCGATCTCATCAACAGTCTACGCCGCCAATGGATCAAGTATCCCTATCCTTGGCGAAGGCAGTGCTGTTACACCCACTGCCTCTGGACCTATCAACATCCCAAAGGCATTCTTTGTACCGGAACTCTCCAACTCCCTCCTTCCCCTTACCCATTACTTACAACAGGGCTACTCTCTTGTCCCAATTAGCGACGGCTCTCGTTTCATCTTCAAAAAGGAAGGCCACACCTTGTGTGTCGGGAACACCGCTGAGAACGTCCTCACCATCGACATGGCAAGTCCAAAGGCCTACTCAGTCCGGATGGATCCCATGATTCTACACAACTCCCTCGGTCATCCAAGCCTCCCCTACCTAAAAGCCGCCTTCCCAGACTTGAAGGTAAATGAACTCAACTGTCTCAACTGCGACCTAGCCAAAATGCATCGACAGCCCTTTCCGGGCCATTTTCCCATTGCTGAGGGGCTGTTGGATTGTGTCCATATGGACCTGTGCGGCCCCATCACTCCGGTAACCCGGGGAGGTAATCGTTATTTTCTGAAGATCGTGGATGGTCACAGCAAATTTCGATTCATCTTCCCAATGCCGATCTCCGATAACGGAGGCGAATTCGTTAACAAACGATTCTCCGAATTGTTCACCAAACACGGCATATCTCACCTCACTTCCGCCTCTTACACACCGCAACAGAACCTCTTTGCCGAAAGGGGAAATCACACTACTGTAGAGAAGGCTAGAGCTCTGCTACTCACCTCAGGCATGGGATCTTATCCTGGTGGGGGAAAGCCCGTGACTACCCTCGGTTTTCCTGGAGAACCCATCGCCCGACAGCTCCATAGGCATGAAAACTCCAACTGAACTCTGGACTGGTAAACCACCTGATCTCTCTCGTCTTCAACCTTTTGGTTGCCGCGCTGTGTTACTGGAGGAGAGGAAATTCCGCCAGTCAAAGTTCTCACCTTCTGGCGTTGAGGCGATTCTCATTGGTTTTCATGACACCCACAAGTCATACAAATTTAACGTGCATGAATGGTGCTCCGATCTGCTCGAATTATCATCACCGCTTGAGATCGATGTAGCCGAAACTTCTGAACAGGAACAGCTCTCCGATGACACTCAGGCTGCTCCCTTGTCTCCCTCTCTCGCTCCTCAGCCTAGGGAACAATCGAGCGGCCCGGGGGTTGATGAACAACCGTCAGATTCCCTTCCTGAAAACCCACATCCCACTGAAAACCTCGACGACTTCGAAGATCCTAATTCTATCCCACCAATCCCGGTGAACCCATCCGCCGTCAAAGGCTATGCCTATGTTCCTCACTACGATGTGGCCCCCAAGGACATCAATAGCAATATCGATCCCTCGAACATCGTGGAGGGGTCGCGCCGTCATCGGGCCTGTGCAGTTGTCCATCCCACCATCCACAAGGCGTTTGTCATCGTCGGTGAACCAGCCTCTCTCAAAGACCCCAAGACCTATGCTCAAGCAATGTGCCGCCTAGATCGAAACGAATGGCTCATGGCGGTTGAAGTTGAGTTGAACAACATCAAGCGGCATGAGGTCTGGGTGGTAGCTCCTATGAAAGTGGGCACAAGACAGCTAGACACTGTCTGGGTCTTTAAGCGAAAATACAACGCGGATGGCGAACTGCAGAAGTTCAAGGCTCGCATCTGTGTGAGAGGATTCCGTCAGATTGAAGGCGTCAATTACGGGGCCACCTTCGCACCCACTGGGCGTCTGGCAACTCTAAGGGTTCTTCTCGGCCTTGCCGCCGCTCGAGGATACGAGGTAGAACAGATGGATGTTCGCTGCGCGTTCCTCAACGGCATACCGGACGAAGAGATCTTCATCAAAGTCCCAGACGGTGTCGATATAGAGGTACCTCCGGGGTATGGTCTCAAACTCCAAAAGTCACTATACGGGCTTAAACAAAGCCCACGCTGTTGGTATCAGGCGTTGAAAACTTTTTTCGACTCGGTCAACTTCACGCCGGCCGAGGCCGATGCCTGTCTTTTCGTCCATCAAGATTCCACTCGTCCCTGCTTCGTCTACGTCCACGTGGATGACCTGGTCATTGTAGGACCGGAAGTGTCATTCCTCAAAAAAGCCATCACCGAGCGCTTTGAAATGGAAGACCTTGGCCCGTGCGAGTGGGTTCTGGGGATGAGAGTAGTTAGGGATAGGGCGCGAAAGGTCATATCGCTTTGCCAGGATCGTTACATCAATGAGATCCTTGAAGAATTCGACCTGGTAAATTGCAAAAGTACTTCCACCCCACTCCCCCTCAACGCACTCACCACCCCCATTGACCCAAATGGTCCATCTGAAGGTTTCAACTATCGGCGGGCGGTTGGCCTGGTCAACTACCTAGTGCAATGCACAAGACCGGACCTCTCCTTTGCCTGCAGTTACCTTTCTCAATTTCTCAATAACCCATCCAGAACTCATGAAAATCAAGTCAAACACGTTTTTCGATACCTTAACAAGACGGTGAACTTCAAACTCGAACTTGGCGAAGAACCACCACAACCCGGACAAATTGTGGCGTTTGCTGACGCCAGCTACGAGAGTGCGGTCGATAGCACCTCCTTCTCCGGCAGTCTTGTCAGGTATTTTGGAACTGTCGGGTGGCGTTGTCAGAAACAAGACGATGATGCCGCCGCGCTCTCAACGACTGAAGCCGAGTACCGAGCCTGTTCAGAAACAGGACAAGATATCCGCTGGTTGGAGCAACTTCTACAGGATGTTCACCCCCATGTGGAAATGACCACCAGCACAGCCCTACTTTACTGTGACAACCAGGGAGCAATCGCCCTACTCAAGAACCCGCAATATCAACATCGAACTCGACATGTCAATGTTCGCCATCATTGGCTCAGACACCACATTGAACGCGAGAAGAACTTCACTCTTCAGTACATCCGAACCGATGAAAATCAAGCGGACTTTTTCACAAAACCGTTGGCACCAATCAAAATCCGCAAGGCTCTTCAGGACATCAAGTTGTTAGATGCCTAGCAAGCACGGGGGGCTGTGACAGTCAAGCGACAGTCAGGAGAAGGAAGCGACTAGGCGCTGGGTTAGGTTTCAGGAAAGGAGGAACACCAAGGAATCTTGTATATATCATCAGATTAGGTTAAAGCCTGTATTTAGATTCCTCAGTGTAGAACCTTGTTTTTTCTTTCCTTTTCTTTTTTCCTCACTCATCTAGTCGCTCTTCATTGTACACCTCAATAGGTGATTATTCATCCTTCTTCGATTCTCTCTTGTCCTCGCTCCCAAGATCTCTCTCGTGCTCACTGCGGTCCACTGGTGTTTCTCAGGTTTGCTTTCTGTTCTTCTTCTTTTTCTCTTTCATTGCGCTTTCCTTCTTCTCTGCTTGCAATGCATCCTCACTCATCTAGTCGCTCTTCATTGTACACCTCAATAGGTGATTATTCATCCTTCTTCGATTCTCTCTTGTCCTCGCTCCCAAGATCTCTCTCGTGCTCACTGCGGTCCACTGGTGTTTCTCAGGTGATTATTCATCCTTCTTCGATTCTCTCTTGTCCTCGCTCCCAAGATCTCTCTCGTGCTCACTGCGGTCCACTGGTGTTTCTCACTCCTTCAACAAACACATCTAGCACACCAGCCCAAACGAATACCGTAGTAGAATGATCATGTCTTTTTTATCTCAAACAGTTTGAATGTTTGTAATCTTCTTTTTTATCAATCAATCTTGGTCTTGTGATGAATGCTTTTCTATCTGTCTCGGCCTTGATGTCTATCAAATCAATCTTGTTTTAATTTCATTGCCTGTCCTTATGGTTGAATCGATGTCCTTATTTATTCAATACATTTTTTTTCCTCTCAGGTGATTAATTACATTATTGGATTGTCTCAATGTCACCTTATTTCTCCAATTCAATTTCTCTCCTCTCAGGTAATGGGCAACACCAAACTGATTGAAAATTAATTACATATTTCCAAATGAATGAGACATTCAGAATTGACAAATGAGTGAGTGAAAAACAAAAGCAATCAAAAATGAGAAGCAATCAAAAAAAAAGAAGCAGGCAAAAATGAGAAACTAGTGATTGAAAAAGTGATTGAAATTGATCAACAAGTAGAACCGTAAGAACAAATAAGTAAGAAAGAAACAAGTGATAAAAAAAAGCTTGACAAGATAAAGTTGCAAATCACTTGGAAGTGGAACCTTCTTTGTCCAATTCACTTGAGTCGTCCGGGTAGGGAAGGGGTTCCTCCTCTTTGATGATATCCTCCTCAAGTTGTCCCTTTTGTGTCCAAAGATGAGCTATGA